TTATAAAACTCATTAATATTCATAAGGCAAAACACAATAGAAATCATAGCCCATGAAGAGAGTTGTATATTACATACAGATTTCTTGTTCATTTGCATAAACTTTTACTCTGATTTTCTCAGTCAGATTGAATTTTTTTTCAAAAGTTTCTTTAAAACCTGAGCTAATTTACCTTAACGTTTCATAAGTAATATACACAATATTCGCGTGCGATCTGTACGAGGATTTAAAACAGCTCGCTTTCAGCCCGCTGTTTTAAATCCTCTTATAAAACTTATTAATAATGCATGAGCTATTACTCCAATAAGGGTTGTCCATTTCATCAGGTGATTGACCTTGTAAATCAGATACAACACTGTGATACAACACTAGTGTTGTATAAGATTTACAACACGGTCGTCACCTTGAGACAACCCAACACTAGCAAAGGTCTCAGTTTTAGTGTCGCATCATAGACCTTCACTAGGTTTTGAAGCAATCAAAGACGGATAACAGAACTCGCTTATGCAACAGATAGCTTGCTTTCCATGTGGGATGGATAATTATTCAAAATGTTCTGTGTTGCAGTAAATTGCGCATGCTTAATAGCGACTCAACTCAGCAGTTTCCTTAATTGCCATTTTTTGTCATTTATCTCACTGTAATTCATTTTAATTTGTGTTGGAGTTTTATAAGTCGTTTACAACATTCGCGTCCGTGTTGTATGGGAATTACAATCTCTCGCCTGCGGCTAGAGATTGTAATTTCCCATACAACACGGCCGCTCATGTTGTAAACATTACATACAGATCGCCCGCTCATATTGTATATATTACATAAAAGATGAATTAATGAGAAACAAAACAAAATGGGAAACCTAGATCTAGCAAAATGAAACGAATTGAAATTAAACAAAATAAATGATGCCCTCCCTCACTTAAAGTGTGAACATAAAGTTTTATTTAGACAAGTTCAGCACTGCAATGTCATCTTCAATCATTTTATAATTCTTATCTTCATTTTTATTTCTGTACCTGTAATAGTTGAAAGGTGTTTGTCTTCAATAGAGCCATACTAGACTGATGYCGTACAAGGTCACTATGAGAGGCAAGCTCATCATCTAAATATCCCTCTCTA